ATCTTTCGTCAATAAAAATATGATTATTAAATTGAATTAATTAATATTTAATGAACTTCCGATTTTCGTCCTTTTTTAAAACATATTGACTGGACTATTTCTGAAATTTTATATGCAGGACTTAAATTGAGTTGCGAAATAGATACTGCCGACAAAAAATTTTCGAAAAAAAAATAAAGAAATAAACACAATATCAGTAGTGCAAAATAAATATTTCACATGATTTGGAGTTCATAATTTTTTTCTAATTTCTACTTCAGTGATCATTTTTTCATTTACAGAAATTAATAACTGGCAACGAATGATTATTTATTTTATTGTTAATAAATTATTCAATAAATATTATCTTTTATATTAAATAAAAATTTACATTGAGAAATTACGAATGAATATTTAAAAATACTCATTTAATATTTATGTTGAATTATGTAATGATAATTGCAATTTTTAAAAATATTATTTATTATTTTATCTACTGAAATTGTCTTGTAAGTAATGTTTATTATTAAAAGAAGTAATGAGCAAACGAAATGCTAATATGAAGGAATAAATAACAAATTAATATAATTATATTCAAAAATAAATGTAAATAAACCTTGGATGTCTTGAGAATAAGTAAAACGTCAAGTGTAATTGAACAATCAATAAGTCATAAATCTCTTTGTGGTTTTGCAAGTCATAATTGTAAGAGAAATGAATGGAAAGTTTACTGGACAAATCTGCAGAAACCGATAATCCTAGGTGATTGAGGAATATGGCTAAGTCCTTTAACTGGTGTATATTCAACTAAGCCTAGCATCAGCAAATAAGTACAAAGGTCTTCAATTATTTATGGTTTTCATGGGAGAAAAACAAAATAATAATTGTAAGCTACCGTACTTCTGACATGGAGAATTCAATAAGCCTTGCCTCTATGTAGACAAACTACAAAGTCTAACCATTAATTATGATATTTCTAACTGAGAATGTTTCTACGTTTGTGGTTAGATGTTGCGGGTGTGATAATCCTCTTTTCTCTTTTGTCCAGAAATTTCTATGTCAACATTGAACCCTTTCCCTGTGCCTAATTGTAATCTGCAATCAAGTTAATCATAAAAGTCTTTTTTTCTGGTTACTTTCTTCGTACAGTTAAATTAAAAAATTTTTCACAGAATATTCAAATTAAATTTCAGTAAAATAATTATTTTATCATGAACATTTAATTTAATATTAATAAATAAATATTGCATGCGAGTTCAATTGACCAAACTTCCTCATCTAGACAATTCAGCTGAATATACTAAATCTTTTTCTTTTCAATGTAGATCAACTCCAAAATCAATCATCAACATTTTCTCTAATTCAGAATAAATTTTCTTTCATTTAATTTGTTATAGAAAAATTCTTGAATATCATCAAAAGATTTTGATATCCAAAAGTAAACAATAACATTGACATTCCAAGTAATCAATAACTATTTATATTTTATCTTGAGTTGTGTTTAGATGTAGATTTTCAAAATGTCATTCAGATAGACCTCAAAATATTGGAACTACTTAAACTATTTACAAATTGACTTCAAACTAATACCAAGTAAAATATGTATATCCTAAACTAAAAGCATCCAATAATTATTCAACAAAATGACTTTAAAAAATAATTAATACCAGCTGACATAAGCACAATAAAAAGGATAAAACAGAGCACTAACATGAAAATACTTTTAAAATAACTTATGAATTAATTTCAAACTATGTTTATATTGTATTTAATATCAAGTTCACATTAATAATCATAAGTACAAGTTGTACCCTCTTGAGAAAGGGAAGAAAAAACGTTGCAGCATTCAGAGCTGTCGAGATGTCATCATTGCAAAATGGGAACACAGAGTCGAATAGGGTTGTATGGAGAGTTCAGGAGAACTTTTTGACATGATCAGAGTGACAACTTGGCATTTTTTATCTGTTTCTCCCCTCTTATGTATCTCATACACTCAAGAATTTTCGAATGGCATCTGCCTCCGTTTATTTCATATTATTAAACGCACACATCATCATCATCATCATCATCATCAACATCATCATCGACATATAATACTTCTGTTCTTCCTCGTTTCTCTCTCTTTTTTCCAAGCCTTATTTTTTTATATCTCATATATTCCAAATCCTTGAGTCATGAGTTTGCTTAAACGAATGTCTTAAATGCCATACGACCTGATCAATTCATTTCAAGAGCGCGATAAACTATCAAATTGACAGCCAAATACTCGAAATCTTTTCTTCCTTTTTTTAATATCGATCACCCTGACAAACATGACAAGCAATATCTGTTGTCCTTTATGATGAAAAAAAACGTTATGAGTTCATTTTGAGTATGATGGTCTTGACAATGATTCAGAATTTCTAGTTTATATCCACCATCCCACGAGGAATGTGAGAAAATCCTAGATAGAAGGTAATGTCAGTGTCAATTCAAAGGCTGCAGGTAATTGCGTGCAATTGCTCGACCTAATCTAGTTAAGGTGAACTCGAGCAACCAAGAGAGCGTGCATTTTTCAGAGGGAGACTTCGAATGCCATGGAAGCCCAGAGGTATAATGTGGTAAGAAAGAAGTAGATGAGCTTAAAGTATTTCCTGATGCACATCATGGAATACTTGAGCACCAAATCTTCTGATCCTACTACTTGAAAATGCAAACCCATCAAATTTACGTCCACTTATTCATATTATGTTAAATTATCTAATAAGCAAAGTCCTCATGGTTTATGGTACATTGACTAAGCTCCAAAAGGTGTGAACTCTAAAGTAATTGTCGTTATTTAATGTTTCATTGATTTTTAATTCCTTAACAGTTGAATAAATAAAATTCCTGTGGAGCATAATGTTTGTGGGAACATTTAACAGCATAATGAAATATGTGTTATTATAAATCCAATACAAAATCCTTCAAAGTAAGGAAAATTGTATGTGATCTCCAATGCAATCATCATGAGTCAAAATATCGAAAAAAAAAACAGGATATTGACAATTGGATAACATAATATTAATTTAATTATGTATAAATTGTTGAATAAAATTAGCTTTTAATAAAAAATGTTAATCTATCTTAAAATCACTTTAAATGTTATATCCATGTTAAGTAGGGTTATTTATCAATATTTTTACATCTAAAAGACAATTTTATATAAAACTTTCCCTCCCTCTTTTGATCTTTCAGATGCCATTGTCATCTGTTTGTTATAATTCTCCAAACCCGACAAATCGTCTATAATAAGATTTCTCATGCTCCCTATTTCTTTCTACGAATGGAATTGAAAAGGGTTGCGAAGACTCTTCACTCCCTGTTTCTCTTTCATTTTTATATTCAATCACATATGTGTTACTTATTCTCGAATACATTTTCCCTCACACACTCCTTGTCACCGCAGGATTTTACACCTACGCACAAAAGACTTACACCTTTTTTTTCACAACTTCTTTCGCCCCTTTCGATCAGGGATAATAGGCCTTCTTGGCGTAGGCTTTGTGCGTCAAAACTCCGTGAAAGGATTCGTGCTGCGACTAGGGAGATTCACAGCCAATGGCATCTCATATCGGAGATGCTGCATACACTATCCAACATAATTCCTCAAAAGCATCTTGAACCGTCTTTACATCAAGAAGTGGATGAATGTGTGCGCAACCGATGACATTTATCGCTCTACTTTGTGGTTTTATCCAACAGAACATTTACTTAACTTTTTTTCTTTATTTTTTACTTTTTGTTCAAGTGTATTGTTCATTCATCTAAGAGAAGAATCTGCACCCGTTTCTTATCCTTAATCTTTATCCCTAGGTTTAGACTGTGTTTACTTCTTTTTTGGAAAAAGATGTGACAACAACTGGGTTGGATTGAGCTCATGGGAACATTGAGGAGACATCAATCATATTTGGAATATTGGACATTTTTTCTTTCTAGTAAAATGGAGAACCTGAGACAATAATGTTTTTGATGGTTTAGCAACAGATATCTTTGAAAATATTCAAATTCAATCAAAAAATACTGATAAATTTATTTGAAGAAAAAATAATATTCCTAGATGAAGAAGTGAAGTGCTGAATTAAGAATAAAATTATTCTTGATTTAGGAATATTCCAAAGCAGGACACGACTAGATTATATCAAACTGGTAATTAGGAATAATAATAAGTATCCGACGAGTACCATGTTCCCCAAGAAGTCGTTTACAGATCAGAACAATGACCAAGCTGTTAGCAAAATATTGATTACAGGTTGAACAACAAATGTTTCTAACAACCTTCATTTTCCTAACTATAAATAGATAATGAATACCGTTCAATGTTTCCCACTGAATAAAATTGAAAGACATGTGTCTATTTTTTTCTCATGTCCAGATAATTGACTTGTTTATTTCACGAGTATTGTTAAAATCACCAAGCATGTTACCGCAAATGTTTCGTTCTGAAAGTGCAACAGCTGTCCTTGTGTCATAGTCACTGAAACATACATACATGTAGACACGAGGCTAATATATATGTATATACATATCAATCTGATGAGTGAGAGAATGAGAAATGAGAAAATAGGGCAGTTATGTACCCCTTGTGTGCGAAAACGAACCAGTCCAGTGGTCTCCAACGATATCATAACACTGTACGCCTATTTGTTACACGATAAATATGTAACTGGAACACAATGTTCCCGAGGTACCCTAGGGTAACTAGGAGTCCCTAGGGAAAAACATCGATGAAGAGAGAAAAGAGACACTTTGAGTCTCGATAGAGGAATAAGAAGGGGAATGAAACCCTGAAACATTAAATCAAACATGAAGACATGCTTTGAGAGTGTATGTGAGAGTCATTCGTCTCGATAGTCAGACTATTTTCGCTAGTGTATGAGTTTGCGGACATATGTATGCATTGTTACACTTTCATATGTATGATACCAACCTCGAATGCTTTACGGTACTGGGGCAGATGGCATTCGTGAAGTCAAAAAGTACTCGAATAAGGGTTTACTTACAATAACATCACTCGTATTCATGGAATTAGGCCATGACTGCCGGCTTTTTACCCCAAAAGAGACGTCTCAGATATCACTCTCCACCCTGGTATTTAATTGTAATGTTCCATCCAAATGATATGCAGACTGATTATATCTCAGATACTGATGCTGGTTGGATAAATCTGCAATGATGGGTTCATCTGTTATCATCTGAAACCTAAGCATAATTAAATTCTTGATAGATTAGTGTGATAGCAATACTCTGTGGGTTCATGGTTTAAATTTAATTTTAAACAAGTATTGAATATTTTCTTTAAAGTTTAAATTTTTGTTTCATTCTAAGATTGGCGACAATAAATTTCTATAAAGATTTTTTAAATCAAAGTTGGAGATTACTATATCATTAGACGTTGATTATTGTATGAATTATGTAGTTCATTTTTTGTAGTTTATTATTGTTACAGAAAAATATTTCCATTATCATAATATAAGGCTGCTTAAAACCCACTAAATAGATGATTGGTTATTGCAAAATTTATTTGCAACAATAATTTTCAATATTGATATGAAATAAAGTGGAGGGAACTCTGAACTTCGAAGAAATCAATTACAATGCAATAGGGAATTGCAAAGTAGCAATAATGGAATGATGATTATGGTGGAGTTCCCTACAGGTATGAAAAAATAATTCTCTTTTTTTCTGTATGATAGACTATTTTTTTGCAAACTATAATATTAGATATGTCAGGCAGTTGCAATTTATAATGCAGAATAACTGTGAGTATATGTTGCTGAAAGTATATGCTTGTTGCAGTCGTTTATTTTAGAAAAAAAAAATAGAAAATCTACTTAAGATTACTTCTATATATGGTTGCGATGAATAATAATCATGAAAGCATGTATTTAAGCCTATAATAATTTCAGTAAGAATATTATGCTTAAACATAGTATGGAAGTACCTGGAGTGATGTATCCTATCCTATTAACAAAGCATGCACAATCCTATTCCAATGACATTTACAGTAGTTGTTCGTTACGCAGAATTAAATTACTTTTGTACTAATCTCCATATCAAATTGCTGTTGTTGGCCATAATCTCCGAAACCACAATTGTGGAAAATATTTTTAAGAGGCTGTCTTGGTTTTGTCAGTAATTGATTGTTTTATTCCCGTGAAAATTTAAATGTTCAAATGTCCATAGACATAACTGAACAAAACAATGAATTGCTATTGTTATAAACATTATATAATTGTTTAATCACATAAAAATTAAAAATTATTGTATCATGACATTGACCATCAACTCTAAGGTACATTTTCTGATCATGTCTAAGTTGTAAATAATCATTAAACACCTTTTAAGCCAAGCTACTTAATAAGGTAAAAAAAAATTATTTTGCAATCTTTTTTTTGTTAATTTAATTATTATATTCAAAAGTTGAAGAAAAATTATTCTCTAGTCAATTAAAAAACAATCATGAGAGCTAGACAACTTGGCCACCAAGTGGGTAATTAATAACAAGTAGAAGTCCTATTCTATAACCAAAGCGAACTTTTATTTTAAACTTATTGACGTCTAGTCTATACCACTTCTTTGATGTATTAATATTGTCGCGTGTGTTGCAAAAGTAAAAAAAAACTAAGAAAGCATATGAAATGGATAAGTGCGTGTGCTAGTGAGGGTTGACAAAGAATAATTCATATCAAGTAAATGTTAGGTGAACAATATATATATAAAGACGTGCAGGAAATTACTAAGCTATATCAATCGAGTATATCTAACATGAAAGCGTTTGTGTATATATATACTTAATGGTTTTTCTTTTATTTCTGCAGGCAATACAAAGCTGGTGATCTGCACTTGTCATAATGTGGGAGCACATCCACCTGCATTGACTCGAGACTCAGTCCAACAAGACGCCAACAAACCACGACCAATTCCAATACATAATAAATATGTCTTGTCCATGAACAAGCATCGTGCATGTGTCATTTACGAACATATCAATTTTAAAAACTATTTAAGCTTCACAATATTCAATCATATTTATCATTTATCTTTAAAAACGCTCTGATGACGTTTTCTTTTTTTTCAAAGACTGGAGATGCAATAAATTTGGGTTTGAAATTCGTCATGCTACCCTGGTGAGAGACCTAATATAACATCTCCATTCTGCCAAAAAAAAGTGTAGAATAAAGCTGTAAGCTTTTATATATACAAATCGAAATGTGTTTCTCTTTCGGTCTTATTGGAATTTTGCATACAATAAAAAAGCTTCTTCCCAGCTTTGGGCCTTCAAAGTGCGGCACCTTTGTATCATTTAATATTTAAAAACAAGCCATAAATATGTCGCATCGCGTGCTGCTCCGCTTAAAACGCGACCGCGCCGGATTAGTGCGGCCTTTCAAAAGCAAGACGAATGCTATGTTGAAATGTTAAGGTGTTAATGATATCTCTGCACAGACTGGATCTTCAACTCCACCTGGTCAATGATAATAACTAAAAGCTGATTTGTCTTTTACATTATTACCCATTTTTCTTCTCACCAAGATAACAGTTTTTCAATTAAATAGGTTGATGACCGAGTTGGTCTGATGCTGGATAGACTTCAATACTTTAGACCAACAATAAGTTCATCAGAGTTATTCTTGATCAATATGTATTCCTTTTTTGAAGGGAGAGTCGATTAAAGTTATGAATGATGCTAATGTTAGCATAGAAAGCAAAATAAAAATATTGTAAACATGATGTCGATAGAAAAAGGTGATGATTTTGTTGATAAACCAGTTGTGTGTTAAATAAAATGGTAGAATTCCTGTTTTTAACTGATAAAGCCCCGCCCAAGACTTGCCCGAGATTCGAAAACGGGTTGTCCTTACCGATTTCATCTTATCTGACATCCATCGAAGGGAGGAAGAAGCTTCCTTGGGATTGGTTCAACTGAGTAAAGGATGTGGCTCTCGAGGACGTATTTATATACTTGCTCTCCTGAATTAACATTTGATCATTATCTTCAATATCAAGTTTATAATAAATAATCTTCCATCCATTCAAAGCATGGCTTCAATATTTTTCAGGAATACCAAGAATGATATCTGATGAAATTGATTCCATCAAACAGCTTTATTACTTCATATTAAATAAATATTTGATTTTATCATTATGTTGAAGTTGATCAGGATTATTTATTGTTAATAAGCTGAAAAAACTGTATATTTGGGACTGCATGATGCCAGATTACATACTGTTTTGACATGACAACATCAGTATTTAAATTTATTCATATCAGCAACATTGACAATTCACGACACTCCAGTTAAAATCAACTTTTTACTTGGTACTGCAAGTGCTCATGGGCTCTACTTTCTGCTTGGTAGTTTGTGATAAATTCATTTCTTTCAACATGCAGCAGCACCAGCAGCAACACTTATTGAAATAAATTTATACAAATTATTGTTTATCTATTTTTATTCTTCATGATTTTAAATAGAATTCTGCTAGTAGGTAACTCCACTGATCGAGCTAGAAACATTTATCTATATTTCCATGTTACTGTCACAAGTAACATCAATTTGTCATACACCAAATGTTTTTATTCTTCCAGCAAATTTATTTATTGCAATTCATTGATATTGTTGCTACGAAGAACATGGTAATTAGTTTTAGCTGCTATGCTTTGTGAGTCCAATGAATGGAGAAATGAATATCCTGCCTGAGGCTAATCAATGATCAGCCAATATATTTATTTTATTTTGATATCGTTGATTAAGCACTTAGCAAAGTTTATAATCTTTTTTATCAATAAAAAAAATTAAAATTAATATTACACACAATTGAGCTGAATTTATTAGCCTAAATGAAAAACAGTATGACTTTAAAGTCAGGCTGGAAATGATCAGAACGTAGTCAAAAAGGTTGCCTGTATTATAAGTTGAATATTTGATTATTCTTAGAGCAATAGTTGATACTTTAGCTGATCATGAAAGAGTATTGAATTCGATAAAATAAAAGTTGATTTAAAATTCTGATTCACCTGGGATTGAAAAGGTATATATATCACAATTGTAATGAAAAGAATAAAGTATAAGTAATATAATTTTCATGATTCTAATGTACTTAGACAACATGATTGAATTGAATGGAGGGGCATAAAAAATGGGTTTGCAAAAGTATCGCATAAAGACGTCAATTTGTAAGTAGTTCTCATTTGTAGATAGAGGGTTCATTCGGGTTATAAGAGCGCACGCATGAACCCAGAGCTTGTTTTGCACCCTATTGCGAGTGGTGGAATTATTTAGTGTACATGCCATGCATAGACTGTACCCACCGTGAAACCGCCCCGCCTAAACAGTGCGTTAACCGATGATTTACGACGCTTTCCCCTACTCTTTATCATATATATTCTCCCTTTTTTCTTGCTGTTGTCTTTCCAACCCTTTCCTTGCTCCAGATCTAGTTTACGGGCCTATTGTTGGTGGCCCCTGATGATAATCCACACATGCTCGTGCTTATTAAAGAACTACTTTTCGTCTTTTTCTCCTCCTTCTTCCAACTCTTTTCTAAGTCTCTCAATTCGGCTTAATTTTGATGCCTCTATATACTTCCGGGGATTTTATTTCTTCAATCAAAATCCACCCACCAATTTCAGAATTGTACTCCAATGTGAATAAGCTCATTCATTACTAATTTCCGTGTTTTTGAACTCGGTATTAGTAGCATCAATGAAATTTAAGCCGGCTATGCCCAAATCTTACGTCTAAATAAGGAGAAAAAACAAATAAATATAAATAGAGGAAATGAAAAGATATCTAATACTAGGATTGAATTATATTAATTCATTGATTGCTCTACACACTCAATAATATATTCAATTAATTCTTCAAATTTATATCAACAATTAATCATTAGTATTTATTTTTCAAACTAACTTCCTACAAAAAATAATTTTACTAAATAAAAATAATGTATACACTTTATATAATATTATAACCTTTAATTTACCTTTTAAAATATTTTAAAATAAAATATTCAAGTGTATATAATCCTTTTAATGACCATTCAAAAAAGAGAGCTGTTTTTCACAATATCCCTAAAGTATATCACTGTATAGGTTATATAAATGAAATGGCAAAGTCCCAGAAAAGTACATTGGCACGATTGAGGTACGGTTGGAGACCCGTGAAAGGGTCTTATAGAAGTGCGAACGAGCATATACATCACTATGACTTACGAGGGGCATTATCGTTCGGTATGAGAGAGCCTTTTGCGAGAGTTATATTGGTCTGAAAGAAAGAGAACGATGAGACAAACTAACGTACGAAAGATGTGCGCGTGCGTGTAATAGTCTATATGAATTGGTATATACGTTCATCGTTAATATATTATGCAGCGAGGCGGCATCAAGACGTTACCCAATGACAATATATTATTACCTGGTGTCCTTCTTTTATCTGCCACGAATGGAGACCCCCCTCCTGCTACATCTCGGCTTAACCGGCTGTCTTGAGAAGTTTAATTCGATTGGAAAACCGGATAGCCATCCGAAGGTATCAAGTGTAGACCAACTCTCTAGTGTAAACTGAAACATAACCTTATTTTAATCGGAAATTAATTTTTAATCAAGTGATGTATTTTCATCTTAATTAAGATTTTTTCAATTATTTCCCTTTTGGAATTGATCAGCTGATGATATTTAGTAGTTTATTTTACAGATACATACATAGATACCATATTTTATAGAGAGCATCAAGGGAATATACGAGATAACGATCAGGATACACAACTAGAGTGAAAAAGAGGAATTGAAAAAAAGGACAATCTTTCATGTATAGAGACTTAAAAAGAGCAGTAGTATTGAAATTTGTCAGAAGAAACCGACATGGCTTGTGTTACTATTATATTTTAGAGGTTATTATACCTGCAATTTTGACACTTATCGTCGAGTCCGATCGCCTTTTTATTTTATATCTTATTCAATGAAATAAATTTATAGGATCTTCCTATAAATAAAGATACCATCATCAACAGCATCATCATCTGGGAGAACGGTTTATCACTTGTTTTTGTCATCACTTTGTCATGTAGCATTCAAGTTCAGATATATCTGAATTATTAATGTAAATGATGTTTTAATCCGTTCACTATATTCTCATATGATCATCATTAATTATTCATTAAAATAAAATTTAAAAAGTTAATTTATTTTTAGCAATATTTTTTTTTTGCTCTGATCAGGATAATCGAAATAATAAATCAAGTGATCGAACTCAGATTTTTAAATAATATCACATTTATTTAGAGCTTGTTTTTTTTATTATTCGAGTCTTGTACATGCTGCTCATTTAGAGCAATTTAATGCTCCAAAAAAGTATTTTAATTGTTTTCCAAAGAAATCAATCTAAAAAGTAAATTGTTTTGGTTGTAAAAATTTAAAACAGAGTTGTTGATGAGAAATAATATAAAATAAAGAAATGCAGCAGCTAATAATTTATGTAGTCAAATGTTAGCACCACGACTTTCTCACGATGTCGTTGGAAGATCTTCCAGAACACGAGCAGTTGATACGATTTGTATTGTTGCATATTTTGTGTTATTGTAGCGTTGACGTTGATCCAACTAAGACAAGATTGCAATCAATTCTACTGATCAAAATGACCAATGTCCATTTGAAATCCATTAGAGCATTTTTCAGAATACATTTCTTCAAGATGAAATTCGATCACAAGTGATTTCTATTCAAGAATTTATTTCATGTAAAAGAATTTTTTGTGATCACGAGATTTGGTAACTTTTCTTCTCTTTTACGTAAGAATAAGTCTTTATTTTCGAATAACAAATTTATTTTTCCAGAATTAAAAAAAATGGTGTGCTGAGAAAAATACCAGCAGCTTAATCTTCAACATCATTTGGAGTCAAAAAACCCATCGACATTGGATTTTTTTTATTTTCACTGAACAAACAATGAATTTTAAAAATATTATGAAATAACAGATGTTATTATTTATCAGTCAATAAATACATAAAGTGTAGGTAAAATATGTGCTCAAAGTACAGGTTTATAAACAAAACAGATCCACTTAAGATTGCCTTTATCAATCTATGTGTGATAGATGAAGAGTGGAAGAGTATACATGTGGTGTGACATTATCTTTTTATGCATAAAACATATACTCCTAAGTAGTTGTTGGCTGAACGGCAACAACGAGATAATTTGGTGATAGAGCACACATCGTTTTAGATTTCAATGGAAGTTAGAGTATTCTGCACGTGCACACGTGGTTGATGAGTCTAAGTACCATAGAACGAGCTGCACATGGTTTTTTTCAATCAAACAAAAATCTCTACACTTCCGCCAGTTTACTACTAAACTAACAAATAATATAAATTCCTTCAAAAATAAATTACCACAGGGAAATTGAAAAATATATCTAAATCTAAAAAAAAAAGAGAGAGATTGACAAACGTCAAGTGTTTGAAATAAAACGAAAAATTAAAAATTTTTTTCTACTAAAAAAATATAATCCATGTCGTTTATTTCTACTTAAATCTCGTACTTTATTACCAGCAACAGACTATCAAGCTAATAGCTTCGGGGTCTCTGAAAACAAATCGTAAAGACACGTTTTATCCTGGGCGTGTATGCTCGTAAAGTTTCGAATTTAAAACGAACATGAATGTGTTCAAGTCGGAAATGAGAGAATTTATTAGAATAACACACACGGAAAAATTATGGGGGATGTTGCTTAGAGAATAAAAAATGCAATAATATAAAAGAGAAGGATAAAAAAAAAAGAAAAAAGCTGGATATGAGTAATGAGAGAGATACATTAAAAATTTTTACACTTACAAATGTTTTCATTCTTAATACTCAACGATAATGTATCTATGTTGGATTCATGGCATTGCTCATATTGTTACAGGTATTGTTGAACGTTGGTTTATGAGACAGGTTTGATTCCCTCCACCATGCTGTAGTTTAATGCATCTAGTCAGCCAATTTTTTCCAGCTGCCTGATTACATTTATAACGTTTGTTTCTGTCATAGAACACGCGTGCACCAAACGTCAAAGGAGACTTCCTTCACCCTTTTAGACAGGAGCACACGCTGAGTCTTCGAAAGGGTACCAGGGTTTTTAGATGTCCTCGTTATCCTGAGAATGCACCATGGTCTAAGGTAAAAAAAAAATTTTTACTCGAATTTATTCCCTTAACTCTAGTGACTCTATTGTTCTCAATAGAAAAATCTTGAAAAGTTTAGTAAGAAAAAAATCTCATAAAGTACCTTTCTATTGAGTAGATTGGGAAGGTTCAAATTTTTATGTCTCGTCGAGTTTGTGAATCACTAGCTGTTGTGATTATGATCCAGAAAAGATGATGACGTTAATTTTTTTTTTTTAGTCTCACTTTGGATTTATGATGAGATCTTCACTCTTAGCTGTAGACTTGAGAAGATTAATCTGAAAAAAAATGGAATGTTCGTTGACTTTGGAATAAAAAATTACACGTGACAATAAAAAAGGATGAACCTATCCTTGAACAAACACAAGACAATCCAATTATCTAAAGCCGAAGCGAATCTAATTCCAGGCAAAGCTTGACGACAATGCACCGGCAGGAATTTCTCGTCACGGTTTGTGTGTATTTTGTCTAATAAAACGATTCGTTAATTTGATAAATCTCCACCTACAAGCAACAAGACACGAATATTTCGGGTTATTGAGAAAAGGAGTGTGAAAGAGTGACAACGATATGTCACTAAGCACAAAGAACAAATTGAGATGGTTGAAGAGGTCGACTTGTTTGTTTTAAACACAGTGAAATGGATCTGAAGCACGTAGCTTTCAACTTAATCGTCATCATGATGAAACAAGAGAAAATGATTGACAACCCATATAAGAGCAAAAGGGAGAGCAGCAAATGTGTTTGTTTTAGCACAAACCTCAGGCACACAAGTATAAATTTAGATACGAGACAGAAACTTGGTTGTTTTATTACCATTAGTCGCGTTGAGTGGGCGGAAAACAGAGAGAGAAATAAAATACACAAAGAGAAAGTTTTGCGGCATGTGTAAAAAGAAAGGAATGAACAAGAGTGAGACATATGTGATGGAGGTGAGCCTAAGGGGAAACAGCTCGATTGTTTTAATGCGTGAAAACCGCACTCGTGTTCGTGTATCTTTCAACATCACACACCTGAATCTACCCAGAAGTGTTTCCGACTTCGACCTTATATACCGGATTGGAGAATAGAAAACGTGTCTGAGGTGTTGTTACCCTTTTGAGTTGATGGACAGTCGGACGTGTGGACAGCATGAAATTATCTCCCTCGACCTCTTGTTATAATTACAGGCCTTGAGACCCGACCAGATCATTTAGACACCATTTTATGAGATATTCAATAGCATAACCGTCTAAGACCTAGAAAACTTTGTCATGTTAACTTACCACCAACTGCTGGCAGTTCATGACACGCGTATCCGCTTTATAACTCGTTATATTATTTTTTATGAGTGCAATACTTCATGTCATTTGCACTCTATTTAAAAGAATTACTGTAATGAAGATGGATCTTAATAAGAAGAAAATAAAATTTGCATCAAGATAATCACATGTATATTTAAAATATCTTTCAATTAATGTTGAAATGATTGCTCCAAAAATTATATTCCAACATGTGTGTATTTTATTTGTGAAGATGATCAGTCTTTGCTGATACTGCTTTGAATGCAGGATAGAACTTGGAATGACTGCTTGTCAATTGAATTTTATCATCAAAAAATGTTTCTACACCGTGTGAAGTGTATTCAACATCAAGCTTGATCTTACCTTCATTAATACTACTATTTGTTACGCTTAGAGGTGGTCATTTAAAAGATGTTCATAATGTGAATATTTTTTCTAGAGATGTTATAAGGTCATCACGATTTGTGGTTTACATGGAAAGTCTTATGTGTGAGTTACAAGCTGTCTCAATTTTATTTCTCTTGTTCTCTAGCAACATGCAGGGTCTAAAACTTAAGTAGATTAAAAGTTAACCCTGGACCGTAGTCTTCCGCAGCGAGAAACTCCAAAGTAGATTAGCCGCATGGGGGTCCACAAGATATAACATTACCGTAGGACTTGTTGATCCTGTTACATCCTGCTTGGAATTAAAAATATTGTCATCCTGTAAGATTATTTACGCAGATAATATCTCATCCACCAACTCTACGAAAACTTTTCTTTGAATTTTATCTCTCGACATGACATTATTTTTCTCCAAGACATCAATACTATTAGCTAGCTCAACTCAGGTAAAACTTCAGAACAATCATTTTTTATTAAATTTTGTGAGATTTTTCTTGTCAAACAAATCTTTAAAAGATAAACAAATATGTCCAAAATGGACATGTGCTTTCGTAAAAGAGTCCAAGATATTGATGTTTGTGGTATGTTTTAGGTCAATGTAATATCTCGTGAGACCAAAACATCCATCACTTTGCTATTGACAATGTGACACAAGTTTGAAGGATCTTTTGGCATAAACACTGTGGGTGGCACCCGGAAGTCAATAAGTACTCGCGAATTGGAGAATTCAAAAATTACTAAAGGACATAATCCTTGAAGAATAGACTGTATCATATCATATTTTGAGTTGGAATACTAGTGAAAGAATTTTCTTCTGACAGATTCCATTTTAAGGTATTGTTGATGGTTAAATAATTGATGATCCTCAAGGGAAAATTTTGACAAAGTAATGTCAAATAAGCTTAGATTATTTTTTCTAGGCATTGATTTTATTTAAAGGGTGAAAATTGAGGAAAATAATGAAATAAATATTGCATAGAATACTTATAAGAAGACATACTCCAATATTTTATTCCCTAATTCTCTCAATACATGTAAGTAATACGTAATCCTCTTATAGACTTTTTTTGAAGAACATTCATCCTCATATTTCGTCTTTCTACATCTCTCTCTCGTCACATATAGAATTAAAAGACGCCTTTAAAAAGTCGACATCATCTTAAATACCACAAATACCACGTTCAAAACGTGACAAATCCAATTCTGTCATTTAGGAAAAAAAATTTCTTTCAAGATGAATCAGAAGAGACAACATAAAATATGAAGACACTGCATCCAACCGGCTAATAGGCCTCTACATACAAAAGCACTGGGAGAAGTTTGGAATGAACAACTAAGAACGCGTGATAATCGATCGTCATTAGCACCCCGTGGCTCTATGACTCCAAACTATGACTATAGATCTGGTCAGGATATACAAGTGTTAGCCCTATAAGTCTGTATCACCATCCAACATAGCTTTTTATCTCAGATGAACGAACTTGATGATAATAAAATATAAAAAATGATGCATTCAGAAAATAAACATGACAAGAAATCAAATTTTTAACAGATTGTTTTTTTGGTGGACTTTAAAAAATTTTTGTTGCATTCAATGTATTCATTTTCTATGATTAAAATAATTATTTTGTAATAATTTTTATCCAATTAATTTGATCAATGATGATTTTATTAATTGAAAACAGTCTGAATAGGAAATAAAAAAAATTGTTTACTAATAAATCTTCTATGATTGTTTGTACTAGAAGAGAAACAACTGATAAATATGTATTCAATATTGGTTGCTTATTAATTGAAATTTTTTAATAATTATCACAAATTATAATACGTAAATTAAATTCATCTTTTTCATGTTAATTCCTCATATCAAAAATCTGAAAAATATCTGCATTTCTTGGTTTACTATCATAGCATAAGAAAATATTGAATCACTAATGAGTTTTTAATATTCCACTAAAGATGATAAATGGTTTAAACTTAAAGATTAGTCGAGATAAAATGCTCAGCCTACGTGTCAAACACACTCGAGGAATATTATCGTTGATTCCTCTGGAGAGTGAATTCATGGTGGGCTACACAGTCTCTAAGGTCTTGCATCCCTTGGGATATATTCTCATGACACAAACAACCAGTAGACATCAATACTCGTCACAATGAACGAGTACACTTCATACTTGAATTTTACAAAGTGTCCAAGTGCATCTTTACTATTCAATTCAGGAGCATTGCATTGTTTGTGGAAGTTTTTCTGTAAATAAAACAGTTTTGTGAAAATTTGGATACCGATGATCGAAAATGATTTATCGGTTCAAATTCATTGATACTTTTTCCTTGTACGTTTGATGTTTTCTTCTGTAAGTTTTTTTTTTCATTCATAAGCTCTTAGAAATTTAACTGGTTCAGTTCTTCATTGATGAATTATTCATTCTTCTCAAAAATATTTTGTTTATTTTTCTAAAAATTTTTTTTGAAATGAATTTTTTTTTTCTATAAGCCTCAGAATGATGGTATATTAAAATTTAGTCGCAGAATTTATTTATTCAAGGATTCTAAAATAAAATTCTTGTGTTATAGTGGTACGTAATTTTTGAAAAATGATTTTTTAATAACAAAAGATAATCTTCACAGATATTTTATTTTTAAAATCACAATAAAACAAATCTAAAATGAGATGGCACCCTGTAGTTAGATGGCTTATCTTGGAAAAATATTCAAATAATTTTTTTCAACCTGTCCATCATAAATTGAATTTATTTATTTTTATTATCAATCATGTAAATGATGCAAAAATAATTTTTAGATTGTATTTAAAATTTTTTAGATTACGTCTACCAGTCATTAAAAATGGTAATGCATTGTAATTTCAACAAAAATCTGAATGAACATTTATTTTATATTTAATATGAGCAAAGTATTACGTTATGCAGTTTTATTGGCAACAAAATACAAAAACAAGTTTTAAATTAAACTCTATAATAATTTTAAATGAGTTTATAAATAACTCAATACCAAAGTCATGATAAATTAGCATAAAATGTACACATTTGTACGTGAAAACTGAGAACACAAATAATAATCTTTTACATAAAGTCATAAATATGAATGTCTCAATCGTATTACATGATATCTGTGAACAATACAAACATATGGATCGATTCAGTGAATAAATGATCAGAGATCAAAAGAAGAAAAATGAATAAACGCCCTTTAGCAATAAACGTTTTAATTCCCTTAGATTTATTACCCTACCAAAAATTCGTAACTAAAATATCAATAGTTCCTTGAACATGCGAATATACTTATTGTTGTGCCTATAGACTCACTGTTGAAGGTGGGCCCACTGATCTTAATAAATTAAAAAAAAATATCAATTCGACGAAGCAAAAAAATAATAATCTCTCTTTCTACTTCCCTTCCATATGCACATGGGGCGGATTGACAAGGTTGTAAATTTAGGTCGACGATCCCAATTTTGTTTAACCGCTTAAAAGATTTATCGACTTATCACAATTCTTTTTCACCAACGACAATTTTTATTTGTCATGAAATTTTTTTTTTTTCGAATTACACCTTTCTGCCTTCCTTTTTCTCAACAATTATTTTTAACTTCATTAAGAACATTTTTTGCTCCATAGAAATCCTTTCCTGTTTCCTTAAACCCTAACCTCATAATATAAATCGACATTAAAAGAGTGAAATAAGCCACAATTTATTTTTGTATTTTCGATTTTTTCTCACAAAAAAAAAAATTTCAATGCACTTAGGTAATAAAATGCTTTTTTTTTAGGTTATATACTTGGATAAATGGCGATTTAGTACCTGCACAGGACACCCCATGAAGCCATCAACCTGCCTTAATATAAATGAGTTTAAAAATTGGGGTTAAAACGGTTTGAATTCTCATGAAAGTTAGAAAAAATTCCAATTTGCAGTGAAACATGATGAAACTTGAATACAGCTGCATTGAATAGTCGAAGCAATTGTAGAGGACGTACATCAGGTAACATTGGGAATTGAGCAGAGAAATATAAGGAAGTATCCCGTGTAGATGTTAGGCTTTTAACCGGTTACCCGCTTGATTACGCGTAATGATCGATTTGATTTAAAGCAGTAACCCGTATCGCGTTACCACCTTCCCAGGTATTAGTTCAGAGAAGAGCAAGAGAGAACGAATGATTCGATTCTCGCGCGTTCTGATTTATTGATACTCGATCCTCGACCTCGGATTCGATCCAAGTCGTAGGATGGATTAATCCTGGCATTGGCTCCTGCCGCAGTTGCAACGAGTCGTGGTAATTACGAATGAACATCAGATATCATATTTTGTTTTATTATTTATAATAACATTTACCATTTTATTATGCTGTGGCTTTGATGATATCACATAATCATTATAAATAAATTACTGGATTTATCTTTTCAGATAAGTACTGTCCTCAACTATTGAATTTTTTTATCAACAAATTAGAAAATTGTTTGAATTAATTTGCTATTTGAAGTTTACATTGAGAGAAAGTGTATAACTTGAAAAGTTATAGATAAAAAAAATTATTAGATTAGCAACGAAAGAGGCAAGAAGTAGACGGACACTAGAGATCTCAGCTCTTAGAGGCACCCTTAGGAACCAAGGAACAATGAACCCCCTGATGATGACAAACGTCTAGAAATCTGATACTCTCCCATATGCTATCGAAGTAAACCCTCTATAACAGTGTACATTGTAATACATTGTTACATTTTCTCTCAGCAGTTTTTACAACCAATAACGCTATGAAAAAAACGCATAATAAAAAGGGGAAAAGCTACAAATTAACTGTCTAAAAGTATACACACAGTCTATATAAATCCCATTTCGTTAGATTAAAGTTTAGAAAAAAAATTAATCCGTGGTATAATTATAGAGAAAGATTGTTTCCACTTGTGAATGGAAAAATATTTTTGATTTTCTTGGTATTTGAGGCGGTTTAGCAGCTTATAGTTTCTATTTGTCAGACAACATAATTCAGCTGAATGAGGTTTTAATAAAATAGATGGGCAAAGGGGTTGATGGAGAGATCCGGGAAGAGTAGACAGCCGTGAAGCAGCTGCGTAAGATCGTTTGGAAATATGTAATTATCAAGTTCGATTGTGTTTTCAAAAGAGCATTGGTTATACTGACCATCATTAAAAGTATCCAACATTTAAAATGATGTAAAGAAATAGCCGCAACACTTTCTGATTATCTCAGGACTTTTTCTTTCAAGAAATAAAACCAATTATGGTCTATAATAATATGAAATGACTAAAATTCAGAATGATGATTACTCAGTAGGCTAATTGATACTTCAGAATTTTCAGCTGAAGGTGGGAGATTGTGTTTATTGTGAACAAGCGAGAGAGTGAAAGGGTTTTATGAGACAGATGCTAGAGACTACTTAGGCAAGGCACGTGAACAAATAATTGAGCATTGAAACCTCTAGCTTAGAGATCATCTGCCGCTAAGTTGGACAGATAGAAAAACAGAGGTGTGTCTGAAAACAAGCCTAAAGATTAGTATCTCTCCAGGGCTGATGACGATATATACATTGATGAGTTTGACAGGAGTCGACACGTCTTTCATCTCTGTAAATGAACACACATTTAATAGTATTATAAGCTTCATCATTTGTATTGCTAATTTATTATTTAGATAAAATATTTTACCTAGAACAGTTATAGAAGCATGTTAGTTTTATAGTCGTTCTCCAATACAAGGAATAATAATACGACCGGTCGTAACATTTGTCATGATTAGCCCTTTTAGTCACGGTGATCCTGCATTATTCGCGTCGTTGCATGCTGAGCTCCGATGTACATCTTGATAGCGTTGAGAGGCATATAAAGTACATCCACATGCTCATCTGTTCGTTCCTTATGGACTTGGAGCCAAGACATCTCTATCTCCAATCCACCCTGGAGCGTGACGAAGAGCTTCCTGAATCAACAGAGTTAAATATATTTCAAAAGAGAAATTCATATTTGCAATAACTTGTTTGTAAATGAGTATTTAAAGTCTCAACTTCATTTTTAGTCGACGGTCAAATTCTGTTCAGTAATTTAACCTTGCGTAAAAAATGAACAGAAGCTGGAGGCTAGGTATGTGTATGCTTGACTACCGTTTACCGCTATTAAAATAAACAGTCCATTATCCACGAGATCGAATCTTAATGTGTTGCATTACTTCTGGATATAAAACCCTTCACAGATAATCCGCAACAATAACAACAGGACCTACATTGTTTGATAGTGCCTTGGGCTCTGCGCCAACTATACAAACATTGAAAAATATTTGTTCTTTCAGCTTTCGCGGTTGTATTAAGATTTGCTGGCTTTTATAAACTCTCCTCATCGCTTGTTACTTTGTAAAGTTATTTTGTTTTGTTAAGAATGCATGAAGATAAATTTAAATTGAATAGAGTGTTCAATTAGAAAGACCCTTTTTCTTGAATAATAATGAGATAACTGGAAATATTGTTT